ACAGAAGTGCGTGGATAAGCTGTTGCCAGCATGCTTTGCTGATATCCAGCGATGTATATTGGAAGCCCCTTATCCACATAGATTCTATCAAGTACACGTCACTTCCGGTGACACGCCTACCCCAACTTACGGATCTCGAGTATATTTTGAGATTACCGCGTACATATCACAATCCATTCCAACATACCATGCCTACTGGACTGCCCACTAGCACAGGTATACATACCGCCTTCTTTTTTTTTGGGGGGGGGGGTAAAAGAGCGCTCTCGGTAGTATAGTGGTGAGTATCCGCGTCTGCCATATGCGAGTGGGTTCTATTCCAGGCCAGTGCCCCATGTTTTGATTCAGTGGTAGTGTACAAAGCGTTATAATTCGTTTATTAATATTATCACATGAATAAACACACAATGGTGAAGAGAAAGGAGAGCAGGAATCGTTGCTGTGCTTGTATAGCTGATACATTTTTGTTGGAGTATGTGTTCTATTGTGAGTTATCTCGTCTTCTTGAAGAGGTGGCAAGTCCGACTGGCATGGTTTCGTCGTGGCGTCGTTGTATAAGTTGAAGCAGTGCTAGGAGGCGGTCCACTACGCATGGCATGTTGTAATGGATTGTACTCTTCACTCGGTAAATTCAAAATATATGTGCCGCACACACATCGGCGCTTGTTTACTTTAAGCTTGAAGGGCTTAGCCTCAGGGGATTTGAGTGTCCAGTCGTTATCACGACTGAGAAGTCATGACAATGCGGGTTTTGCAGCGCATTGGCTCGCTCCTGCACGGCCATACCCGCACTGCTGCCCGCTCACCCTTCGCCGCCTGAATCTAGCCTTCCAGGTGAGAGGGGGTTAGGGTTGATGGGTTCATCATCGATGAGAGACGCCAACTAACTAACTAACCACGGGCAGTAAGGGTTCCGTTTTCGAGTTCTGTGCCGACTCCCTTAGCTTTTCCCTTATACCCACATCGGTGACCACCTTTACCTTGAGTTATACTGGGCTGTCTTTTGCTCTCGCAAAGACCCTCTTTGTCCCGCCCGCAAATGCCAACTCATTGTTTTGATGGGGTGCTTTGCAAAATCTCCTAATGCTGTTCCGGAAATTCGCAGTTTGTGGTCTTCGGTGATTTCTGACTTCAAAAAGTGTGAGGTCCTTTTCGAATGTAGAGAGCACTCGTTGCAAACAGCCGAAGTCGTTTCCTCATAAACCACGAACAGTCAAATGCCGTTCTTCCTTCCTTCCTTCCTCTTCCCAGCAGTTTACAAGTATGCAATCAAAGCGTGTCCAGAACCTGAGAAACGGCTATATAGGTTCGATGCAGCAAAAATGGAAATGGTAGCACTCATCAGATGTGATGTTGATGGCTTATCAAAGGAGGAATTTACAATAAGAACGAAGGTTTAAGAAGGGGAAAATTGCACGAGGGAGACAGGCGGACCTCCTGCTGCCGACGCGCAATTGGCAGCGAAAGATTTGACCTCGGCGATCTAGCATGGCTCACTCTTGGCGCGGTTGGCGGGTACGCCCACCGACCATCTAATCACTCGCTGCAGCCTTACAGGGCAGGGCACAGCGATGAGAGTCGTATGAATGCGCAAAGGAAAGGGTTCTATTTTTTTGTTTCGGTTATTTCAAATGGTTTCTTCTTCATCCCTGCTCCACTGACCACCTCTACATTTATTTCCAATGAGCTAGCTTCTTCATCGTAAATTCTGCATTTAAGGCTCTGAAGGTACCATTCGTTCCTCGCGCTGGAGCCGATGTATCAATCGTGTTTGTTTTGGACCTAACGGAGTCATGTAAGGATCATTGGGACGCAGTACGTTGACTCTGTGTATATGACTCTTCATTTCTATTATGTTACTCACTAATATTGCGCGCGGTTTATGTGCCGGTCGCAAAACTCTTGGCCGATATCGCACATAGATTCCGCAGAGTACTGCGGATTGAATTATCTCCCAACACGACGTGGTTTGAATGCAATACTGTGCAAGCTGGCTTTTCAACAGTTGTGGATACAGTACTGTGATTGAAGAGGCTCAGCAGTGAAAGGAATGACACAAGAATCGAACGCAACTGCTATTGGTGACTAAGGCTATTGGTAGCAGAGGGGTTCAAATTTGAATAAGAAGGGGTCTAGCACTTAAGTGATGCGTAGAAAATCTGATTTTTCAGAAACAGGGACTAAGTCTTGAGCGGGGGCGGAGAGACTGAAGGCGTGGGCAATTTTCATTTTCCCCAAGTTTGCTTACTCCAGGCTCAGTTCTAAAGCATGCCCCGTAACCTGCGATAACACATATGATTGACCAATTTTAATGAAATTGACTCATGATCAGCTTAGAGTTTCCGCTCAATTTTTTGATTCTTTCCCAATGAGTGAATATTGATCTCTAAAAGTGTATGGTTTTGTATATACTGTTACCCTTACAGCAGGAACATTGATTCTCGATGTGGGGTGAAAAAATATTGTACCGAGTCGTCTTACATTGGCTTCGTCCACTACGTGTGTCG